AGCGACTACGTAACGACGACAAATCAAAGGGGATAAAACCTCTCTCACTCACATACACCAGATTCAATATTAATCGAAGCGTTGTAGCAATCACTAAGCATCGAATGCGAAAGTAATAGGCGTCAATCAATCAATGTGGTTCCCATTTGGAACCAAAGCGTTGAAAATGTGCGAAAAACTCGCTGATTTTCTCCCGCTCACTCCATCAAAATTTTGGAAAATATTTGGACTATTTATTTTTTTTTAATCTGCTAAGTGGTATTAAATTTTAATTTATTGCTCATCCAGTCGAGACATACTGTAATTTACCGAATCGCAAAACGATTTTAGAGTTACACCTAAAGAACGGAAGGGGGAGAGGTAGAGAGAGAGGGGACAAGACCTTATGATCTCGATATAATAAATTGTTGCCGTACGATTCAATGAATAAATTAGGGATTTCGCTTGTGGTCTAAATTAGATGCAGTGAATTAACGTTCTGGCAACCGCATTGTTGACAAAGTCCGTTGCATGTAAATCGATTACACAATGCCGTAAATAATGCAGAAATTGCAATTTTGTGCAAGTAAGTAAGCGGGCGAGCGGACGCGCGCTCAACTCGCTTCCGCGCACATACCGAAAATTGTGATTTAATCAATCAATTAAAATCGAATGCGGCAAATATTGAATCTGTGCGCATTTCCCTCTCTCTATTTTTGAGTAGCACACTGACATCGATTTTATGTTGCTGTCGTGGTATGGTGGCCAAAAATATCACTGCACCGCCTTCTCTTGTCTTGATGAATTTATTTGCAATTATCATTTATCAAATTGATAAGCTACGTCAATGTTCCGTAAGTATCGTTAAATCATCCACTTTGCGATGGCTATCATCTTATATTGTTTGCATTTTGATTGCAAATTAATTTTTTGGTTTTCGTTGTGTATCGAACCACAACGACTGAATAGCAAATTTCTGCGGCGATTGACGAAGAAACAAGGGAAAAACGTTTTCATGCTCGTCATGAAATCAATTTGATGCTTCGATTGCACGTGGCCGCGCGGTGTACTTAGTGTGAATCACCACAAAGCAGACTGTCAAGAATCAATGAAGCGAAAACCGCGATGCGATCAAGAGCCAAAATATCGCCACGAGATACATTCAATTTTCATTAAATTTCAATTTCCTAATATTGAATTGGTTGTGTCGTTTGAAATCTTTTCCAAGCTTTCTCATCGAAAAGAGAACCGCAACCGACTGAATTGATGGGAAAAAATATAAAGTTCGTTTAATATGCCGCAGAGCGCACCACATGGCAAGCCGAACGATGGTCAAAAGACAAATCACGAAATCGATTGCAGATTCAAGGCATTGAATTGAGTAAACATAATAACAGCAACAACAAAATTAATTGAACTACACTAAGCGATTATTATAATATTAAAAAAACATTATGATGATAAAAATTTGCGATTTCTCTCTCCCCCTCTCCATTCGTACTTCGGTGCATCTCTATCAAGACAATGTTCGTTGCAAATGGGCGCTCGCCCGGTAGCCAAAGCCCCAATACGATAAAGTAAAAACACACTGCCAACTTATTGGATTTATGCGCATTGTCTGAAGCATAAAAGCGGCAGCCGGCTGTTTCAACATTGGCAATTGCCATCATGATCCGCTCACGAAAAACACAAGCCACTCGCATTCAATAAATAGGTAGAGATATGTTTGTCTCGTATACTTTTCACGTTCTTCTCTCGACGGCCAACTTTATTAAAATTGCACAATAAATATGTAAATGGGGCTCATTCCCGTTTTCTACTTATTTCATTCATCTATTTATTTTATTTTGGTATTTCGTCTCATCGTGCCGCCGCGTCGTTCCCAATCATGTTCACATCAGTGCATTACAATCCATTGGCACCGTACGACGATACGCATAGAAATCTCTCTATCTATCTCTTTGTCTTAACAAAGGTTTTCTCTCAATTTTCAGAACAAATCATTAACATAATGCTTTTCCGATTGAATGGCATTTCAATGCACAAATTCTTTAGTGCACGCTTTGAATTCGCTTGCTTGAGGTCAAATCTATTCGAGATTTATGTGTGGTGATGACGGCGGCAACGGCATCACTTCGACAATAATCCGAATTGCTATGAAAAGGGACAGATATTAATTAGTCTGGCATTGCTCCAATCGATGCAATATGCGCTGTGTTTTCTCTCGTACTCCAAACATACTTTGCCTGTCAATTTATTTGTCTTCCACAATTTTCGACAGCATTTTCTGTGCAATTGAAGAACGTGCAACCAACATAAGTACTCTGAATCGTTACAAAAAAACACACAGAGAGAAACACTCTTATCTACATGTCATTTGGCAATGCCAACGAAACATATTCATTTGTCGCATTCTTTTCTCGTGTGCTGCATGCCCTATCGTGATATTGTAGTCTCTTCTGTTTTGCATTTGCGTGGTTTTCTCGCATTTTGAAGACTTAAATATGAAAATATATTCATAATTCATTCGGTGCATCGCCGACATCGTTTCGTATTGTTGTTACTGAATGCGTTGGTTTTCATCGGCGGTTGTTTGCTCCGGTTTGTTTTTCTCCTGTTCTTCTTCTTTCACGTTTTCGTTTACGATTCTATGTGTCATCAAGAATTTCAAACAGATATTCAGTTGTATTTTCTTTTGTCGTTTGTCAAGAATTTCGAGAGAGTTCGGCGATGGTATGTGGTGGTGTGCAGCAGTGTATTTTGCAGCTGGAAAAATGTAGATGATTATCTCACAGAAAACGCATCCGAAATGAATTCAACCAAAATATTTTGACGTGCAGTGGCGCTACATCGCACACACACACACACACACACATCCCAAATGAAATTCATTAAGTCTTTATGAGATAAACATTCAAACTAGCGTGAATACAAATTACCACAAAATGTCTCTGTAATATGAAATAATTATTTTCTCGTTTGAAGTGTTTGCGTGCATTAGTGATGCAATTCCTTTTTTTCCTCCTGTTTTGCTTCTTTCAACTTGAATAGACTTTTAGCTTTGTTTCTTTACGTGCGCAGACACATCGTAGACAGTTCTTTATGCATATCCGTAGAAATTCCAGCCAAACAAATGTGATAAAATGATAAATTCTATATAGTTTAGTCGTTGGCTGCAGACAGACAGAAATAAAAACAAACGACATCATTTTGCCAAACCACCGAATAACGTCATATCAAACATGTTAGCTGAAACACCAGTAGATGTAATTTTCGTATCAATCCTATGCTGAGAAGAGAAAATTCTATAGCTGAGCTGTTGTCTTAAGCAAATTGTCATGAAGAGATTATGTTTTTATTAAAACTTTGAGTCACTTGAATTAAATTCAATTGAATTAGATACTGACAATTAAACAAAATCGTTGTGTGTTTTTTTTAATTCAAAATCTCTGTGAGTTTGACATCCGATTCTCCCAATTACGCTACATACTAACAAACATAAAAGGGAAACACAAAAACAAATATTGAAAATTCTCTGAGCAAAATACAATGAATGGTAAGACTCAGCAATCTTATATATGAAATATTAGTTCAGTGATAATCGAATGTAATAAAAAAGAGACACAGAATATCATTCACATCCATTTCAAATAGCTACTGGAATTTTCTGCCACACATTTTCACGAATGTCAAAAGCAAAGAAAACCGACTACTATTTCATTTTAGTATTAATCTGTGCGTTTGAAACGGTTGTATTTGTCGTTGTCATGAATTGACGCTTGATTTCACTGAAACACTTTTTTACACGTTAGATAATTCAACGATCGTCGCATCTAACAATAAAAAGTGTGTGTAACCATTTGCTACTTCAGACTGTTCTAATAAACACAATGAGTGCCACCCATTCTGAATGGAAAAAGACAAAATTCACAAAGCCACTAGAACGATATCCCTCACAGATTAGCCGTAGGAGTGCGTTTGTGGTAGTGGCGGTGATGGTATACATAGAAGTGAACATTGCAAAATGTCAAACACATGCACGTATCAAATCCTCGAGTACTTGCCCAGATACACAAACATCAGTGCAAGCTATATCGCAATGAATTATGACTTGCTGACATTCAACATATGATGCAATTATCCAGTAACCAAAAGAGAGAGAGAGAGCGAGAGAAATAGCGTTATAGTATTGCACTGCCTGTGTCATGATCGCACAACGTTTCTGATCTTGACAAACTTTTATCTGTCGAGTTGGCGTGTTATTCTTCCCAGATTTTATTCAATTTTGAATTAATTCCTTTTTTGCATAGAATGCTCTGTTATGTTTCAAGTCATGGTTTATTGATTAACTCAAGCCACTCTGCAATCAACATGGATCTGCCAAACCGACGTAAAACTTCTCGTCAATTTATTGAGTGACGACTTTTGCAGTCCCAAAGTCTCAAATTAAACGCGTAACAGTTAACGCTTCGCATAGCCATTGTCCCTTTGGGAACGTTTACCAAAGGTTATTTCGGACCGTTTGTTATCGGACTAATATCAAGCATTTCCATTTTGGTTGCATGACTGTGTTTTTGTTTTCATGTCCTACTTGTGTAAATGCAAGAAGTTTACGAAAAGAGTCAGGTTTTTAACGAGGCGAGAACTGATAGTTATCGTTATTATTAATCATTGTAAGTAAATACAAATTGATGTAACAGTCTTGCACTCTTTTTCGGCCACATTCTATTATAATATATTCAGCCAGAGCTTGGCGGTGTTAAATAAAAATAAAAAAATAAAATAAAAATAAACACTCGAACATCTTGCAACTTAAACTATTTTGCTATCAGGATACCTATTGTTCGTTTGCAGAATTTGAGTTTCGGCAAAAATGATAGAAACTGAGTTGTAGCTTTTCACATTTATGTGAAATATTCCGTTGGGACGAGATAAAAAGCAGAGATACTATTCAAAATAAATTTGAAGAATGTATAAAATTTACTTAATTTTTTTTCAATCTTGTCTTTTTCGCACTGCAGTGAAACCGTTTTTCAACAAAGAGCCATCTGATTTAACCGTTTTGGCCGGTCAAACTGTGCAATTCTATTGTTCAGTTGGCGGTGATCCGCAGCCCCAAATTTTATGGCGCAAAGACGATGGAAGCATGCCTGTTGGAAGGTAATAAGTAGTTTTCATAAAGAACAAACTCTTATCATATGTTTTGGTTGCTTCAATACGATAATGAAATATTTAAATTTTGTTGGTCTTCATGGTTATAAACAGAGCCGTTATCAAGGATGACGACAAGAGTTTGGTAATCAAAAATGTGGTCCCAGCCGATGAAGGAATCTACATTTGTGATGCATCTAATGGAGTAGGGCAAATAAGTGCCAAAGCGCAACTTGTTGTTAACTGTAAGTAATATATTCAATATTAAATCGAATAAAAAGACGGAGGAATGTTTATCGAATATTTCCACAAAACGGATATGGTCACGGTCGCGTAAGACGAAACCACGGGAAAAAAATTGAAATTGGAAAAAAATGGTCTTAACATTAGGAGATCTATAGAAGTAAAGTAATAAGTAATATATTACTATTTCCTATTACTATTACAGGCTATTACAAAAATAGGCTATTACATTTACCTATTACTTTTCCTATTACTTTTGTAAAGGGTTAACCTATTACTTCTACTATTACTATTACATGTAATAGGAAAAGTAATAGTAATAGGTTCATCCTATTACAAAAGTAATAGGAAAAGTAATAGGTAAATGTAATAGCCTGTAATAGTAATAGTG